CGGCGTGTCACATCGCCATTTTTGCCCCTATCAGATATTACTATGCCCATGTGTGCATATGCAGATATGTGTGTGCACATGCACACCCGTGAGTATGTGCATGCTATTTACATTATAGTGCTAGTAATTTTATTTTATGTAGATTCTCAAATACAGAGATAAACTGTTTATTTAATAGTTTCCTCGAGTTTAGGTTCTCTGAAACAAATGCTGAAGTGCTTAACAAGATTTACTTGATCTAGCAACAGAAAGTAGAGTTATCTTGGTTAGCATGTTTTTTCCATTAACAATTTTTGCTACATTCAGGATGATAGAGAACTTAAAAGGCAGCGAAGAAAGCAATCAAACAGAGAATCTGCACGTCGGTCCCGATTACGTAAGCAGGTACAATTCCACATGCTTTTTTTTTCTGTTGCAAATATTAAACAAGTCTCCAACTTATGAAGATAACAGTGTCATTAATGGTTAATGATTTGCAGGCAGAGTATGAAGAACTGGCTCAACGTGCCGATACTTTGAGAGAGGAAAATGCTTCCTTGAGGGCAGAGCTCACCAGGATCAAGGAGGAGTACGAGCAACTTCTTTCTCAAAACACATTGCTTAAGGTGATGAGTCTTATTTTCCTTTAATACGCCATTGATGTCTCCTAAAATCCATGCCGGCATATTCTAGCATGTATTGATTGTCAATGCAACCTTGCAGGAGAAAATTGGTGAAGTAAAGCAAGGTGCGGAAGATCAAAGTCTTGATGGAAAAGAACAATGTTCCGGAGATGACAAACCGAAAAGGAACTTAGATTCTGATGCTCAAGCAGCAGAAACAGAGCAAGGGCAGAGTGGCGTCTAGCCCCTCCCTGCTCGAGATTGGAGTCTAACCCCAAAGGATCCCCACGCCCAGATAACATAAAATGGTTAAGAACCGAGCATATTACAGTTGTTGCTGTCAATTGGTATTAGGTAAAACTGTCACTACTAAGGCAGATATAGATAGGGTGGGAAGGCGCAGCTTCTTCCTCTTCTGTCAGCATGGCTAGTGTGACCCTTCTCACTCGCCTATTTGTATGCTTAACCTTTGATTGAATGTATTGCTCCATGAGAAACTAATTATTGCTAATGCTGTAATGTTAACTTTCATCTTATTGTTGAACAAAGAACCTGTGTTTTATCATGTCAGGTGTTTAAATTGAAGAGAAATCCGAGTATAGTTCATTTAGTAAGTACAGCAATTCTTGCCAATATACAGCCTTGCTAATGCATTGGTGTGTATTCAACACTTTAATGAACAATGAACATGTTAACATTTCTATGCTATGCTCTTCTAAATTTATGCCAACATTTCTGCAACTATTGGTCTTCATTCGTTCCAAAGAACTCCTAAAGCCTCGCAGTTTGTTAACAGATCTCATATTGCATGACAGATCTAAATATGAGACGCAGAAGAAATTACAGGGGAAGGAACCAACTACCCAGAAGATCTTCATTCATAATAAGTTTCATGTCGAGGTCAAAAGTATTTTAGCTATTCAAAAGGCAATAGCACAGACCAACAAAGTCTACAGTTGTAATCTCAACAAATAAGTCTCATTCGGTTCGGCGTAGTTAGACAGTACGATTTACACTTTTCTCATCAAAAGAAAAAGCCTTTGGTCCAACTCGAACTGAGCTGCAGGAGGATACCCCTTCAGCATCATCGGTAGTCCACCAAAAGAAGCATAGATTTCCCTGAATGAAGCAAAATAACAAATTATACGAGAGCCAAAGTACAACACCATCAATCTTAAAGTTCAAATCAGCTCAATGAATTACCCAACTGTAATCATAACACTGTTTCCCACCAGAACATAAACTTAATTTTATTCATTTGAATAATTAATGCTATTCCTTGACAGAAAAAAATATATCTCGACTACAGCATATTTATGAATTTAATCAAGATGCCACTGACAGGATGGAGTGAATCAAGAAACCATTGCCAAGATGGACTCACTCGAGATATCGGAAGGCCGTGTTGACTCAAGCCTCAAATATCGCTAGTTAAGGCAAGAGCATAAAATGAATTAAATAACAATAAATGCGTATGACAATAGAAGTATGATAAAGATGAATATCTGACTCACCAGATCATGGAAAACAAAACTGATTCAACTTGGAGGGTGATTAAAATAAAATGAGGAAGACAGATGAGAAAAGATCTAACTAGCATGTTAGTCCCTTTTGCAAGTCATGTTCATCGCAATAAATGACTAAATTGAAGTATAACAGACTCTACCATGTCAGTGTAGGAAACATTATCTTCATCAAGCCTCAACAGTGAGACAAAGTCTAAACCTTGCTTGGCTAAAGTTTGATTCAGGTTCCTAATGAGCAGTTACGAATATGGAAAGGTTGAGACATATAAAGGATGCATCAGGCACATGGTACTGTAGTTATTTAAGATGAAAATGCCAGTATGGACGATTATGATAAAATAGATGGTCACAGAAAAGGCCTGCATCATCACACTGCAAGTCACTAAAAGAATATTTAAGGTGAAAAATAATGAGGTTGATAGAAGAATTTTGTCAATAAGTGATTAGCTTAAACTAGCATTCCATGCTGGTAAATGACATACAAGATAACTAGTGCAGATGCAGACATAAGTTATATGTGCAACAAAGTAAAAATTTGAAAATCCATTAAAAAAAAACAATGCTTGCAGCATAAATCTAAAGAAAATAATCCATGCTGAAAAAAAGAAAAGACTAGTACATGCATCTTGTATGACTGCTTAAACAGTCTTGTACATTTACATTTCACCGCACAACCCTGAAGCATTTGCCATATTATTATCAAAGATTTTGCATCTGCATCCTTTATCTAAAACCAATTCAAAGACTTCATAATCACTTGACTTAAAGCAGCACTAGATTTCTCCTTGCAGTTTTCTGAGACTAGACTCCTACTCAGATTTTGACTGTACACTGTTTTTAAATTCAGACTTGCCTATTTGTAGAGTCTGAGCCATGTGAAGAAGTACCAAAAAAAAAACCATTAGATAACAGAGCATCAAATTTTTGACAAATCAGGTACACTCTTCAAGATATTATTCTGCAAATATCGATCCTTATACACTTCTTTAAGAACGACTTCGAGAAGCCAAAGTCATCACAACTCTGATTCCATCAAGTCTGAAATACCATCCAATCAATAAAACAATGTAAGATACCTTTATCAAACTTTTTACTATCTGGATCCAGTCTGGTCAAAGTGAAAATGTCTTCAAAAACAAGCTCCACCATCTTTCTGCAGGACCGAACTCAGGAAGTACCTGAAACAAAAATCTTAGCAACGCAATAAGTTGAAATTAACTGGAATAACCCTTTCAGACTTGGTTAAGCTCCTCTTAGGAAAGTAATCACATGCTAACAAGACATCCACGCCAGCATAATAAAATTATTAGTAAGTTCTACCCTTTAAATCCATCAAGTACTCCACATGCATACCTTTTCAAGAAGATAAATCTTGAAAACTTCCTATATATATATAATCACTTCAAAAAAATAAGAAATAAAACTGCATTATCACACAATGTGAAAGAACCTCGATCTCACACATGCATAGAAGCAAAACTCTTTCACTTTCTTTGGTTGTGAGAAGAAAGAATGTACCTTGCAACGTCGACCGCTCATTCGTTCAGTTCAAGTTCAAAAAATTTGCCTTTTTTTATCGTTTTACAAGCAAAAAAACTCTTCATTTCCGCGAGTTTTGCGAACTCCCATTTACCAACAGTCAATCCAACATTCCACGTTTAGAAATGTCGACTCAAAACGTGTTCTCTTGTGTTCGACAACAAAGAGAAAGGCAAAGATCTTAAAGACCGGATAGAGATTAAAATTAGCTGATAAAGATGAAAACACACGACACTAAAAGTAATATTACCGTCTGTCTTCGCTGCGGCTGTTCGAAGTCGCCTGCACGGTCCGGCGATACTTCTCGACAACGTTAGGGCTTAAGACGGACTTGAGTTACCTCTTACGGCCGACTCGAAGAGCACGACATACGGAACGGACTCGAGACGGGTTGGGGGCCATTTCTGCTTTGCTTTGAGATTCGGGATAGTAATCCTGGACCGTACGCATTGTTGATGGTGGATTAGAGAGTGGTTGTTTATTGTATTTCAATGATATGAGTTATTAGGATCGCTAATGATGCTGGAAAACATAAAAATAACTTTCACAGAAATAAAAAAAAAAAAATATAATTGCTCTTCATATTATTAAGGGCACGATATATATATATATATATATAATGAGACTTATTCTTTTTTAAGGTAATAATTCCACAAGAGATTATAAAATATTAATTTAAAATTTGATTGGACAAAAAAAAGATTCAAGCACTGTGACACTCCAATTTCATTGATTTAGGGTCACTTAAAAGGCACTATTTTTGTGCCCACAAATCTGATAAAACTCTAAAAGAACTTGCACAGGTAAAAGCAACACTATAAAGACCTGCAGAAGCTCTTGATGAACAATGGCAAAAACTGATGATGGAGAGTGGTGTGTAGTTGACGATTATTGTTGCAGGATACACAGCTTTCAAGTTTCTGCAGAGAGAGGGCAACATATCAAAACTATATACGCAATCAGGATCTGTCTCTTTGTTCATATTCCTGCCATAGCCTATGCATTTCATATCATGGACATCATACCGGATGAGAAAACAGAGTTTTTCACAAGAATTACTTGAAGCATAATGTGACCAAAAGAAGCAATTGCATAATACATGAGGTGCTTTACAACTATTTTTATGGTTCATCGGTTCGTGGTCGTAATTCATCGATGGGAAACCAGCAAACGTTTATAAGACAGAAGGGCTTGGAAGTATAGCATAATACATAGAAAAGGCGTATCTACACAAGTGGCTGCAGACAGGCTATTGTTAGTTAATTGCATGATCCTCGGACGTATTACACTCTTCAAGGAGAGTGATGATATTATGTTCAGGTGCGCTAAGAGTCGGTGATATCAGCCGTTTTGCTGGATTCGGAGTAGGGTTTGCTCGGCCATCTTGGGACTGGAGGTGTGATCCATCCTTAACAACTGGCAAATCAGCCTTCGCATGGGCAGTAGCTGAAGTTCTTCTTTCTTTCCATATTCTTCTATCCTGAAATCAAAAAATATACATATTAGGCAATGAATGACAGAATAAATAGCAGTTCTAAAGCATTTTTCATGTCTGATTGCACTTCCACTTCATAGCGGACACCTCATCCAACGAGGATCTTATTGTTTGCCAAAGTAGTGGACACTC